GGAGGGGGGTGGGAGGATGGGTTAGCCTGGTGATGGGTATTGAGGAGGGCACATTCTGCATGGATCACTGGGTGTTATGCACAAACAATGAATCATGGAACACTACATCTAAAATTAATAATGTAATGTATGGGGATTAACATAAAATAAAAAAATTTAAAAAAAATTATGAAATTGACATTCTTCTTTTGTCATCATTATTTAGATATTCAAAAGTTCTAATTTTCTGGTCTCACAGTTCTATTATTTTGCAACAAGCATGAAGGAAGCTTTAAAATTGTACTGGCCAGGGGCGCCTGGGTGGCTCAGTCGTTAAGCGTCTGCCTTCGGCTCAGGTCATGATGCCAGGGTCCTGGAATCGAGCCCCACATCGGGCTCCCTGCTCTGCGGGAAGCCTGCTTCTCCCTCTCCCACACCCCCTGCTTGTGTTCCCTCTCTCGCTGTGTCTCTCTCTGTCAAATAAATAAGTAAAATCTTAAAAAAAAAAAAAAAAAACTGTACTGGTCAATTTTTTATGTACTTACATGAAAAATCAGGTTATATACAGATATGTGATTCATTATTGTATTTTCTTTCCTTCCTTGAATAGAAGCAAGTTTAATAAATCTCAGATTATTTTGTGTTCTGAATAATCCATGGAAAATGGGAAAATGAAATTTCATAAAATAATATGAATCATACATAGCAACCATAAGACATTTTTAGGTTTGTTATTACTTTTGTAGTAAATAATGTTGATATATATTTTTTATCAAAAAAGTTAATGTAACAGTAAGCTTCTTTATGAAAATTTTAGCTAGTACAGAGCTAAATTTAAAAAGATAAATTTAATTTCTCCCTCTATTTGGTAGTTTTTGATTCAAAGTAACTGCTCCTTAAAAATATCTAGGAAGGGGTGCCTGGGTGGCTCAATCGGTTAAGCGTCTGCCTTCGGCTCAGGTCATGATCCCAGGGTCCTGGGATTGAGTCCTGCATCTCTGCATTGGGCTCCTTGCTCAGCAGGGAGCCTGCTTCTCCTTCTCTCCTGCTTATGCTCTCTCTTGCTATCTCTCTCTCTCTCAAGTAAATAAATAAAATCTTTTTTAAAAAAGTATCTTAGGAAGACTGACAAAGAAAAGCTACCGAGGAAGTACTGGTCCAAGCAGATATTTTAATATACTATAATGCCTGTAGAATTAAAACAGTGTAGCCTTCACACATGAATTAGATGAACAGCTCAGTGAAACAGAATGTAAGTACATATGGAAATTTAATTTACAATACAGTGACATCTCAAAAAATTGGGGCAAAGGTAGACTTTACAGTAAGTGATGCCGGAGCAACTTGTTATCCATATGGAAAAAAATAAAATTAGATCCATACTTCACACTACATATAAGAATAAACTACAAATGGATCAGAGATACAAATGTAGAAAACTAAAATAAAATTTTTAAATAACAAAGTATAAAAAATAAAATATAAAAAATATGTAAACGTAAAGTAAATCTAAAAGAATAAAACATGGATGAACTCCTATATAGCTTCAAACATCCCCCTGAGTAAGGGTGTCCTCAAAGAGTATGTCTAAAGGAAACAGGAGCCAGCTTAACAGGTCTCCCACTGATCTAAAACAATTAAGCATCAAAATAGATAAGTTGGAACTCATAAAATAAGAAACCATGACTCCATACAAATTAAATATAAACTTACATATATAACTACAAAAGGAAAAAGGGAAAGCTCTCTCTTTCATTAGAATGTCAGCTAATAAATAAAGAAGGAACACTGGGGTTAGCAAATCACCATTTTGCAACTACCAGAGTAGTAACTTATTCAGCTAAGAATTATCAACAAAAGCTGAAAGTAGTGAGTAGACTGTTTCAAGAGAAACAGGACATTTACATAGTCTCAAACTACCTTACCCCAAATTACTTATTAATTACAAAGTCAATAGTTACTTTACAGTGCGGAAACTCAGGAGATACCACCTTAACCAGGTGATTAATGTTGGCATCACTAGCAACAAAAGTAAACCACTATCATGTGCCTTCTCTGACCCACTGAAAGGGTACGGCATAATTTCTGTAGAATCCCTCCAAAAATCTATAACTGAACGTAAGCATGAAAAGATATTGCACAAACCCAAGATGAGGAATATTCTATAAACCCCGAGAAAATTTCTAAGTGAGATCCCCTTTGGCACACCCCAACCTCCTGTTTTCTACATCCCTATCCAATCTTCTAGATCCCCAGGATTTAGGCAGTGCTCACAATGATCCTACCCATGAAAGTGAAAGGACTAAAAATGTATTTTTTCTAGTTCAAATAATAACAACTAAAGAAATATACTCTTCTTTTCTAAAACATCACATTAAACTGTAATTGTGGTGAATATAGTAAATTTTTTTAAAACCTGTTTATTTTTTATAAGAATTTAATAAAAAAAAAAATCTCAATCTCCTCTAACTTAAAAAAGAAAACTAATTTGCCAATCATAACAAACCTACCTTCATTCCTATGTGAAACTGCAAAACTAACACTTTCATGAAACCATTTGTATATCAGCTAAGAAAAAAAGGCAATAAATGGGCGCCTGGGTGGCTCAGTCAGTTGATCATCCAACTCTTGATTTCAGTTCAGGTCATGATCTCGGGGTCATGAGATTGAGCCCCATATGGGGCTTCAAGCTCAGCACGGGGTCTACTTGATTTTGTTTTTTTAATCCAATCTGATACCCTGTGTCTTTTGATTGGGGCATTTAGCCCATTTACATTCAGGGTAACTACTGAAAGATAGGAATTTAGTGCCATTGTATTGCCTGTAAGGTGACTGCTACTGTATATTGTCTCTGTTCCTTTCTGGTCTATGTTACTTTTAGGCTCTCTCTTTGCTTAGAGGACCCCTTTTAATATTTCTTGTAGGGCTGGTTTGGTGTTTGCAAATTCTTTTAGTTTTTGTTTGTCCTGGAAGCTTTTTATCTCTCCTTCTATTTCCAATGACAGCCTAGCTGGATATAGTATTCTTGGCTCATATTTTTCTCATTTAGTGCTCTGAATATATCCTGCCAGTCCTTTCTGGCCTGCCAGGTCTCTGTGGATAGGTCTGTGCCAATCTAATGTTTCTACATTGTAGGTTACATATCTCTTGTCCCAAGCTGCTTTCAGGATTTTCTCTTTGTCTATGAGACTTGGGAATTTTACTATTAGATGTCGGGGTGTTGACCTATTTTTATTGATTTTGAGGGGGATTCTCTGTGCCTCCTGGATTTTGATGCTTGTTTCCTTCCCCTAATGAGGGAAGTTCTCTGCTATAATTTGCTCCAATATACCTTCTGCCCCTCTCTCTCTTTCTTCTTCTTCTGGGATCCCAATTATTCTCATGTTGTTTCACTTTATGGTACCACTTATTTCTCGAATTCTGCCCTCGTGATCCAGTAGTTGTTTATCTCTTTTTCTCAGCTTCTTTATTCTCCATCATTTGGTCTTCTATATCACTAACTCCCTCTTCTGCCTCATTTATCCTAACAGTTAGAGCCTCCATTTTTTATTGTACCTCATTAATAGCCTTTTTGATTTCGACTTGGTTAGATTTTAGTTCTTTATTTCTCCAGAAAGGGATTCTCTAGTATCTTCAATGCTTTTTTCAAGCCCAACTAGTATCTTTATAATCATCACTCTGAATTCTAATTCTTACATCTTACTAATGTCTGTATTGATTAGGTCCCTGGCAGTCGGTACTGCCTCTTGTTCTTTTTTTTGAGGTGAGTTTTTCCGTCTTGTCATTTTGTCCATAGGAGAACAGATGAATGAGAGAACAAAATGCTAAAAGGGTAACAACGACCCCAGAAAAATATACACTTCCAGAAAGTGGTCGCTTTTCTGTGCATAGAACTGCTATTTTCTTCGATCTCCTGTTGAGTTTGTAGGTGTTCTGAATGGTTTGATAACTATCTAGCTGAATTCCTGGGACCAGACGAAATTTAGGTCTCCTACCCCTCCGCCATCTTGCTCCTCCCCCTCGCACGGGGTCTACTTGAGATTCTTGCTCTCCCTCTCCCTCTGTCCCTCCCCACTCGTGCATGCTCCTTCTAATAAATAAATGAATAAAATCTTTTTTAAAAAAGCAATAAAAAGTTATTTCTTATTTAACGTATGCTAATTTGCCCAACAGTTCAAATTGTAAAGAGTTTTCAGTCTATCTACTGTTTAAGACTAAATATACCCTCCTAATTTACAACAAAAATGAAACATTTTAAAAATACATACCATCATCATCTTTGCTTTCTAAAGGAACACTCCAAGCTATCAGGTTTCTTGCTGTACGACCCTCCTCTGCAACTATTCTCCTTACTTTGTCATGACTATTGGAGCGCTGGAATGACGCCTATATACAGAAAAAAGAATATATATTAATTAGTCAACATATAAAATATATTTGGCTGACAAATTCATTATTTCTCACATTTTCTCACAAAGGAAACACTTAAAACTAATTTAGGATTGAAAAGGTAGTTAAACAGACAAAAGAAAGTAAATCACAGATCTTTTTATTTCTGAAAAGACTGGTCTTACAATTTTAAACATAAACAAATTATTTCAAGAATAAATACAAACCAAGGTTTGAAAATGTGCCCTAAGAAGCACAAATACTGCTTTGTACACATTTCAGCACCACCACTTACACAGCAACAGGTCTGATCCTCTGATTTCAATCCTATACACAGGGTTCATTTTAGCCTTTCCCTTATTCATAATTTCTTTCTCTGCCAGTCAGAAACCTGGTTCTCATTACCTAAAATATATTTACTTATCTGTTCAATTCTACTACATACATAAAGTAGTTTCAGAATTGCTCACCCACAGATTTATTAACAAGATTACAACATTTCTATATAGTTATCTTTAGCCTTATAGTATCCAAAGTACTGGATTTTGTTTTCCAAAATTACTTAAATTATTTCTTCTCATCCTCACCCTTATTTTCAATGTGATTACACTATTCACTTGCAGTATGTTACTCTTTCCTTTCTGTTTTGGGTTCTCCTCACCTACTGGTTGATTTTAAGTGCTCGTTTATTGGGGGAGTGTAAAAAAGAAAGCAACACATTATTCTCAAAGTAACTTACTGATGAATAGTATGACTTGAAGAGAAGAAAAAAGGCACTACACTCTAGAGCATGGGTCAGCAAACTTCTACAAAGGGCCAGATAACAACTTTTTATTTTAGGCTTTACAGGCCATACAGTCTCTGTGACAACTAGTCAATCATGCCTTTTTATGTGAAAGCAGCCAGAACTTAACTTTTACATCTTTAAAATAAATACCTGCCCCCACATTCCTTCATTCCTCTGACTTTACCCTGGATATCCACATGGCATCTACTTACCTAATTCATAAGCTTATGCTGAAACTCATTAATCTGCAACCACTATTTCAGCTCCATCCTGTGCAAAATTCTTGAATCATCTCTATTCCCATATTTTCCAATCAAGTTAACACTATAAAATCTCCTTTTTTTGGATTAAACACATCTCCCAGTGATTATTAGCTCTATAAATAATTTAGTTGGCATCTACCATTTAAATTACCTAAGCATTGTTTTAAGCAAGAAGTATCACTATTCCTTATAGGCCAGATGAACAAGTTTAAATAGGTGGCCTACTTTTCAGCTCTTTTTCAGATAATTTCAGATAATTATGCAATCACATAAAATCTTATAGGTAGATATAAGGAGATATATATATCATAAAATGCATTATTCTATACATTATTCTCTAAGAGTCTTCATAAAGTGATGAATTTCTAGGAACTAAAGTGATCACAAGATAGCAATGCTATAATAATGCTAAAACAGAAAACTTGAAATCTAATATTCTTTTCTTCTATAAATGTTTCAATTCTACCATAAATTTTGCAAAGTTGGTTCTCTTTTTAAAGACTTTTATTTATTTATTTGAGAGAGAGAGAGCAAGTATGTGCACAAGCCAGGGGCAGGGTGCAGAGGGAGAAGTAGACTCCCTGCTGGGCAGGTAGCCCCATACGGGGCTCCATCCCAGGACCCTAAGATCATGACCTGAGCTAAAGGCAGACATTTAACCAACTGAGCCACCCAGGCACCCCAAAGTTAGTTCTTTTATTCTTAGTACACATACACAAATTCAAAGAAAAAGCTACCACCAACTCAAGACTTTGTTTTAATTCTTAATTCTAGTACTTCACATGCAAAAATATCATAACATTCATCTTACTACAACATCTGACTGAAAACCATTTTTCCATAAAATCACAGGTGCATTCTGTAACATATGCTAAGTGACCTCTTTTCAATAACTCACGAATTCTAGTCATTTTTAATAACCCTATTGTTATAAAGATGTCAGTAGTAACTTAAATACAATAGTTTTAAGCATTTTAATCTAAGCATCAGGGTTTGCTATTCAATATATGACTCTGAGATACTTCATAACATTACAGATGTCTATTTCAAACAGAATTTTCATCTAGGTTCTTCCAGGAGACTTAAACAAAATATACTATTTTCATCCCAAAGTCACAGTGTGCCACCTAGTGCCACATGGAGATTTTGCAGAGGCTTGTTCAAATACTAAATGTTTCAATAAAAAGCATAAACATCAGTCCTAAGTGAAAGTTTTTATGTTTAACACTTACAGTTTATGACTTAAGTATATAATTTCTGAGACTTGCTCCTAGATTGGGAAAAGAAATTTTTAACCTATCTGCTAAGGCTAAAAAAAACCTAAATAATTTCTACTTTAAGCAACTTTGTTCATAATCCTAAACTGGCTTCAAGCACTATTTATTAAATTTTTATGTTTGTACCTCCATTAAAGTTACTACTTCTCACAAGTTCTTCAAAATCCATCCATAATACTACTTGCTCATAAAACTATTTCCCTTCTTTTTTAAAATGGTTTTTCAGCTTTCTAAATAATTCAGGAAAGACCCTTTCTTTTAAATTCCCACTACTAAAGCCCTTCATATTTTAAGTAGTATGAAGACAAGATTACCAGTCACTGAACACCAGGAGTACATTAAAATTCTAAGAGTGGTAGCACTTATGTATACTTTTAACAAACCACAAACTTATCTGAGAAACTGAGTAACTGGTACAATTTCCCTAATATAGGATGTGGAGCTGGAATTCTGTACAGCAACCTATGATAACTTTGTCAGATCTTACTGACATTTCACATCTTTCTAAAGGTAAAGTAAAGCCCTAGATCAACTAAGGCTGTCCAGACTATCACAAGGGACAAAAATAAACTTCAGTCTTGTATGAGCTACTTTGTTTTGAGATCTCTGTTAGAACAGATATCGAATCTTACCAATTCTATCTCCTAAATATATCTTGAAATTGTAAATCCACTAATATCACGCGAATCTGAGCCATCATCATGTCAAACATAAATTATTATAACAGCCTCTGTGACAGAGACAATATGTTCACCAAAACCACTAAATTTTTGTCCTGCTACAGAGCTATATAACACTTACTGGGCTCTTGCAGAGAGATGGCCATATGACTAAATTCTGCACACTAAAATATAGGCAAAAATAAGGTAAGCCATTACCAGGCCTGGCTTATAAAGAAAATCTCATATATCACCATTTATATTCTCTCTCTCTTTTCTCCCACTTACTGGCCAGATGCAGAGGATCCAACACAGAACTCTAGAGAATGAGGAAAAAGACAAAAATAGAGTTGGTCCCTGAATTACAGTGTGAAAGGCTGACTGCTAAATACCTGCACTGAACTATTATGCGAATAAGAAATAAACTTCCCTTCTGCTTATATAGGGCTAGGTAATTCAGACCAACCATCCACTTGAGAAAAACTGTAAGAGCTGAACAAAATATTTTTTAAACATCTGTTTAAAGCACCAGAAAAAAGTGAAGGAAGCAAGCAATCATAGGGCAAGATCAGGAAAAATAAGAAATTTAAAGAGGTGAGTCCAGCAATCAGGGCTGCTGTTGTCCCAGAGACACCTGGCAATTCCAACGGACACAGCCAAGACAGAAAAGTTGACCAGAGTTTGACAGACTTGCAAAAGTACAGAAACAAAATCTGTCCAGGGCCATCGCAGGCGTTAGGTTGAAACCTTGAAGTTCCATCCCCTTAGAATAAGGGTAAACTAGAAATAGATAAGCCCTCACAAAAAAACAGAGCCAATTTTGAATCATTTCAATATCTGGCAGGATTAAACTATGACTGCTAGTGTCCCTAGCCATTGCCAAAAACAAAACTAAATTTTCTAGGGAATATACTACCATCTTAGGCATCTTATCATCTTTTCTAGGGAATATATTATCATCTTATCTAATAAATTATTCACATGTAATATCTGCACCCAATCAAAAATTACGACACACTATGAAACATGTCAAATATCTGAAAATCAGGGGAAAAAACCCAGAAAATAGAAATATACCCACACATGATCCAAATAATGGAGCTATCAGACAAAGATTTTAAGGTGAGTCTACTTAATATGGCCCAGAAAATTAAAAGACCAGATTGAGAGGCACCTAGATTGGGTGGCTCAGTCAGTTAACTGTCTGACTCTTGATTTCGGCTCAGCCATGATCTCAGGGTCGTGAGATCAAGCCCCATCTATCAGGCTCCGTGCTCAGCGCAGAGTCTGCTTCTCCCTCTCCCCTCTCCCCTGCTCATGCTCTCTCTCTCTAAAATAAATTAAAGAATAAAATCATTAAAAAAAAAAGTCATCAGGTAGAGAAAGACAAATACCATATGATTTCATTCATATGTGAAATTAAGAAATGAAACAAATGGACAAAAAACAAAAGAAACAAACTGAATAATATATAGAATTGCTGAATCACTATATTGTACACCTGAAACTGATATAATGCTATATGTTAACTATGCTGGAATTAAAATAAAATTTAAAAAAAGGATGGTAGCTATATTAATATTAAACAAAGCAGACTTTTAAGGCAAGGATTACCACTAGAGATAGAATGATATTTCATAAGTGTAAAAGATTCATCAACCAGTGAATTATAACAATTCTTAATGTGTATCTAATAACATATAAGGAAAAACTGAAATAGGAAAAAACACTATCACCATGGAAGATTTTAACATACCTCTTTAAGAAGCTGGCAGAATAAGGAGACAAAAACAGTTAAGTAACAATACAGAAAACTTGAATAACATAATTAACAAACTTGACATATTTGACATATCTGGAACCCAACATTCAACAATGGTAGAATATACATTCTTTTCAAGTGTATGTTATTTTCCAGACTGTAGATACCCTGGGTCATAAAGCAGGCCTCACTAAATTTCAAAGAATAGAAAGTACCAAAGAGAGATAACCAGAAAAATCCTCATGTTTGGAAATTAAGCAATACATTTCTAAATAACTTACAGATCAAAGAAATCACATTGGAAATTTTAAAATATTTTCAATTGAATCATAATAAAAATATGACACACCAGTGCTTGTACAGCAGCCAAAGCCATGCTTAAAGAAAAATGTATAGCCATAAAATGATATAATGACAAAAAGCTAAAAATCAATGATCTGAGTCTCTATTTCAAGAAGCTAGAAAGAGTAGCATATTAATTCCAAAAAAAGAAGGAAATGATAGGCAGCAAAAACCAATAAAATACAAGACAAACATATGACAGTGAAAAACTAATAATAAAACCTAAAATGGGTTATTTGAAAACACTAATGAAAGAATAACCAATATGAGGAATAATAAAGGAACATCACTACAGATTCTAAAACCTCCAGGCTTTAAAAAGGTAAAAGGATATTATAACTAACATATCAACTTACAATATTTGATATAATGCACAAATTCCTTGAAAAATATAATTTACCAAATCCTTGGTGACACTGTTGAGCATGTGCTACTGAAAGCATGCTAACACGGTATTCCCCCCAGCCCAACTAAAACCTACTGGTCTTTCAAGTCTCAACTTAAAAAGTAACTCTCTCAGAATGAAGTACTTTAACCCCCAGACTTAGCCAGGACCACTTTTAAATGCTTGAACCAACCTGTACTCTTTTGTAGTACATCTCACAATTACATTTCAAATCCTATAATTACATATTTACCATCTATCTTCCCCCATGAATGACAAATAATTGGCATGATAAAGAAATCATGAATGACTGAAATAAGTATATCATGAATAAATGAACATCACTGTATTTACCATCTATCTTCCCCATGAATGATGAAAAATTGGCATGATAAAGAAATCATGAATGACTGAAATAAGTATATCATGAATAAATGAACATCATTGGGAAATGAGGTAGTCAACATAAATCTATAACTAAAGTTTGCCCTGCTAAGCACAAATTTTTTCCATTTTACCATTTTGGATAAAAATCTCCGAATCATACTTCCCTGACTTTTAAACGGAGGCTACTGAAGGAACTTCCTCTTTTCTTGGTATTTTCAGGTTATCACTATGAACAACTTTTGTATGATATTATAATATGCCCTCGGGAGCTATAGAAGTACAGAGGATGTAGCTGTAAGATAAATGGGCCCAGACCAAAGTGCTTTTTAGACTTTTTGAGTTCTTTACTTCCTGATGATTAGGCAGAACACAAAAGCTTAATTCTCAATTATTTTCTCTTCTTCCCTATCCAGCTATCAGCTTTCAATTCTTACTTGTTAGAATTATGGGAATGTTACTACTATGGTTCTGAATAAGAAGCTCAAGAATTCTACAAGTACAGTGAACATACTTTCATTGTATGAATTATCTGTTAAGGATGATCACAGGCATTTTTAATTTACTCTCGGGTTTTTGGCCACATTCCTTAAAGCCACAGTTGGCAGACTAGCAGTGCTTTACTACACTTTGCCCATTAGACCTGTTTAAAAACAAGACAAATCAATAGGAAATACTATGAAGTTGTTAAAGGAAATAAAGATCTCTGATGCTCTAGGGTATACTGCAAAGATACTAAATGAAAAAGAGATGTAAGGAAAGGAGGACAAAAAAACTAAGGTTAGAATTTAAGGTAGCTCGATCACTTACCATCATTCTTTAATTTCCTCGTATGCCAAGAAGCTCATTTACCACAGAAACCCCTGGGGTGTGACTCCTACAATAAAATATATATATATATACTCTTACTCATAACATTGTCAAAAATATTTATACTTAAAAAGATACAAGTTTCATCACAAGTTTGTCATTACATTAAACAACAAAAAATAAAACTGCTCCTTTATACTGCCTGTTTGGATATAATATAGCATGTTTTAAATATTCCATACTTAAGAATACCTTAAGGTCCTCCCCCCAAATTTTTTTAAGTTAAATAGAAGAGAAACACTGTTAATTAAATGAATAGTCTATGAGATCTCAATGCAGAGACTTTTTTTTTACTACCATTTATATAGTGCACACAACACACATACAGTATATCCTTACTCAGTTCACAAATATATGTTTAACTGAAACAAAATTTCCTAATGTTTATCCCTATTGTGTGAGATGCATTCTGACATATCCTTCTCATTTTTCAAATGCTGCTTTCATTAAATTGATTTATGACCCACTAATGAATGACAACTAGTATATAAAACATTGTACCTCTTCTTAGGAACTTCAGAAAACAGATTTTATCAAAATATTTTAATTGCTATTACATAAGCCTCCACATAGAACAGATCTTACTTTTCAGGATATCAACATAATGTGGCCAAACCTTTACTCAAAGAAACCCAAAGCAGAAACCTAGATAGAACAAAAAGGGCCAGAGATATTGCTAGAAAGAATGGTCTAACCCTATAATGAACAAAGAAAAGAAAGTAGCAATTAGAACCTAGGTGCTTCAGGGATGGGAGCCTAGGTAACTTATCCATTGCCAAGTGAATCTGCTCATTTTAAAATGCAGCACCTCAAATGAAAACACATGTCCACATAAAAACTTACATCCAAGTATTCATAGCAGCATTATACATAATGGCCAAAAGTGGAAACAACCCATACAATGGAATATTATTGGGCCATAAAAAGGAATAAAGCAATTATACATGCTACAACATGGAGGCACCTTAAAAACATTATGCTAAGTGAAAGAAGCCAGTCACAAAAGACAATATATTATATAATTTATAGGTAATGTCTAGAATAGGCAAATCCATAGAGTCAGAAAACAGATTATTGGTTGCCTAGGGCTAGGGAGTTGGAGAAAAATGGGAATGACTGATGGGGTTTCTTTTGGGGATGACGAAATGTTCTAAAATCCATTACGGTGATGATTGCACAACTCTGTGAATATGCTAAAAGCCATTTTTTAAATGACTGAATTGCCGGCACCTGGGTGGTTCAGTCAGTTAAGTGTCTGCCTTTGGCTCAGGTCACAATCCCAGGGGCCTGGGATCGAGCCCCATGTTGGGCTCCCTGCTCAGCGGGGAGCCTGCTTCTCCCTCTCCCTCTGCAGCTCCCCCTACTTGTGCTCATGCTCTCTCTCTCCCTGCCTCCCTCTGTCAAATTAATTAATGTAAAAAAGTTTTAAATGGCTGAATTATATGATGTATGAACTATATCTCATTTAAACTGTTCTGTTTTTACATGCAGTGCCTCTGTTCACAACTCTCCAATTCCTCTCCATCTCAGAGTAAAAGCCAAAGTCCTCACAGTAGCCTATCATATTCATACCTCTCTGACCATACCTCAACTCCTCTCCTCTTTGATGTTCATTCCTCTCCAGCCACAATGGCTTCTTTATGTTCCCCCAAATGCCAGACACACACCTGCCTCAGGGCTTTGTACTTACTTGGAACACTCAAGATTTACTCCATCTTTGCTCACATGTCACTTCCTCAGCGAGGCCTTCTCAAACACTCTATTACTGCAACTCATTCAAGGGTGCCTGGCTGGCTCAGTCAGTAGAGCATGCAACTCCTGATCTCAGGGTTGTTGAGTTCAAGCCCCATGTTGGGTGTAAAGATTACTTTAAAAAAGTAAAATCTTTAAATAAAATAAAATAAAATAAAATTGCAACCCATTTATTCTGACTCCCACCCCTGACACTCCCTATCCCACTTCTCTAGAGCATTTATCACCTTATATTATTTACTTAATTGGTATAGTGTCCATCTCTCCCTACAAGAACATAAGCTTCACGGTGTTTGTTGGTTTTGTTAGCGCTATGGCCTCAGTACCTAGAACAGTACCTGGCATTGAGTAGGCATTAAATACTTATTTACTAATAAATAAAGCCCATGCTAAAGAATATTTGCTCACCATGTTGTCCTGCTCTCACCCTCCTACATATTCAAAGCCTTCCAGTTGTTCCAGATCAACTCAAAAGTCATCTTCAAAAAGCCTATTCTGACATCCCCAGCTGACAGAGATCTTTTACATCTGAATTTCCAGACCATTTCATCTGTATTCCTTACTTCTAAAAAGTAGGAGAAAGCATGATATAGTGGAAAGAGTATATAGAGACACTGGAATCAACCAAAGCACTGGCTATGTGACCTTGAGAAGTCATTTAATCTCTTTTGAGTATCAGTATTTTCATCTATAAAGATGAAGAGGTTTAAAGGCTATGTCCTTTTTTCCAAAATAGATATACAAATACCGAATAACACAAAAAGATGTTGAATATTACAGATATACAAATCACAACCACAGTAAGATACCACTTCACACCCACTAGGATGGCTATAATTCAAAAGACAAACAACAAGTATTGGAGAGGATGTGGAAAAACTGGAGGTAACATACACAGCTTGTTGGGAATGTAATATGCTGTAGCTGGTTTTGTAAACAGTCTGGCAGTTCCTCAAAAAGTCAGAGTTACCATATGACCCAGCAATTCCACTGCTAGGTATATATCCAAGAGAAATGAAAACATGTCCACACAAAAACTTGCATACAAATGTTTATAGCAGCATTATTCATTATATTCAAAAAGTGAAACAATCCAAATGTCCATCAACTGGTGGATAAATAGAATGTGGTATATCCACACAATAAAATATTATTCAGCCATAAAAAGACATAAAGTTTCTGAAAAAGTCAAAACTATGGAGACAAGGAAAAGATCAAGTGTTACAGCAGTTAGGAAGAAGGAGGGATAAATAGGCAGAACACAAAATTTTCAGGGCAGCGAAAGTATTCTTTATGATACTATAATGGTGGATACAATACATGTCATTACACATTTGTCCAAACCCATAAATACAACACCAAGAGTAAATACAAATGTAAACTATAGACTTTGGTGTGACAGGGACTTGTCAATATAAGTTAAATCAATTGTAACAAACATACCACTCTGGTGGGGGATGTTGAAAAAGGGGGAAGCTATGCATAAGTAGAGGCAGGGAGGATATGGGAAGTCTCTGTACTTTCCTGTCAATTTGGCTGTGACCCTAAAACTGCCCTAAAAAAATAAAGTGTTAAAAAAAAAAAAGGTAGTGCTGATACATGCTACAACGTGGATGAACATTGAAAACATTATGCTAAATGGAAGAAGCTAGGCACAAAAGTCCACATATGATTTTATTAATATGAAATGCCAGAATAGACAAATCCATAGAGAAAAAAAAGATGAGTGGCTGCCTAGGGCTGGTGCAGGAAGTAGGATGGAGAAGCGAGGGAGGTCAGGAATGGGGAATGGCTGTTACGGAGTTTCACACTGGGGTTCTGAAAATGTTCTAAAGTAAATTGTGGTGATGGTTACACAAATCTGTGAATACACTAAAAACCACTGAAGTATATACTTTAATGGCTAAATTTTATGGTATGTGAGATATATCTCAATAAAGCTATTTTTAAAAACCCTGAAAGCAAGTTGGTGCAGCCACTTTGGAAAACAGTGTGGGGGTTCCTCAAAAAATTAAAAATAGAGCTACCCTATGACCCAGCAATTGCACTACTGGCTATTTACCCCAAAGTACAGATGTAATGAAAAGAAGGGCCATATGCACCCCAATGTTCACAGCAGCAATCTCCACAATAGCCAAACTGTGGAAAGAGCCAAGATGCCCTTCAATAGACAAATGGATAAAGAAGATGTGGTCCATATATACAATGGAATATTACTCAGCCATTAGAAAGGATGAATACCCAACTTTTACATCAACATGGATGGGACTGGAGAAGATTATGCTAAGTGAAATAAGTCAAGCAGAGGAAGTCAATTATCATATGGTTTCACTTATTTGTGGAACATAAGGAATAGCATGGAGGACATTAGGAGAAGGAAGGGAAAAATGAAGGTAGGGATATTGGAGGGGGAGATGAACCATGAGAGACTATGGACTCTGAGAAACAAACTGAAGGGTTTAGAGCAGAGAGGGGTGGGGGGATGAGTTAGCCCGGTGACAGGTATTAAGGAGGGCACGTACTGCATGGAACACTGGGTGCTATACGCAAACAATGAATCATGGAACACTCCATCAAAAATGAATGATGTACTGTATGGTGAATAACATAATAAAAACAAAAAACAAAAAAAACCCTAATACCTAACCCAGAACTTCCAAAATTTCAAGCATTCAGTTACTACTTTCATATTTGCCATATCTACCACCTATACTATTATTTCTATAACATTTTTCTCTAAAACCTTTACTTCCATTTTAAAAGAAAATTTATAACACTGTCATAAACAATCAGTTAATATAAAAAATGGATATGGCAAATATTGGCAGTGCTATTCAAGTAAATTTGAGAAACTCTAGGCTACAGTGAAACAATGGACAAGCAGAAAATGGAGCACAAAACAACAACAACAAAAACAAGTCAGTAAACGGAACAGACACTAGGATTGACTGGCCCAGAGATTTCTGAACAAGCTGCTGCCAGTGATAAACTGAAGTCTCACTTGTCCTAGTCTGCCCTACAGTCCCAGAAAGTCTGTGGAGACACCTGAGAGTCCTACAAATGGAAATGGGAAGATTGGCTCAAATGCCAGCAAAGGCCTGCCTCATTTCTTTACCTGAGTTTACGTACACAGGTTCTGAAAAGGCAAGAAGTAAATGGGAGGTTCAAAACAGTGAGAAGCCTGCTAGTAACTCTACTCTAAAAAATATAGGCCCATCTAACAGAAGCCAGGACAGTACATCTATGAATTGTTCTCATGTTTGCCAATAAATTCTAGAAAAATTGGGTTTGGCAATATCCAATGTTCACAAAATCTATCACTCAATGTGCTGGCATTTTCTGAAATTGAAGAAAATCTGAATATTTCCCTGAGTCTGGTACTTACAGAATGCCATTGTCGGCATACTCAAAAACTATCAGTAATTGTTCACATCTTTGTTGAGTAGAAAATAAATGTATTATGGCAAAATAAGTACTTTGAAGAACACCACAGACATTTTATAGTTCCAAGCTGTTTAATGAAATTTTCAATTCTGATCACTCACATATATACTACCATGAATAAATCAACTAGGAGGCATTTATCTTCTCCCATGAACCCGGCATGCCTCTTTGAAAATACCAAACTACCTTTCTTTTGCAATACTATATTAAACAAGCCTAACACAAACTGAAATCTTTACAAATCAAATATGTCTGAGATTTGCTTCAAAACAATGAAGGGGGGTTAGCTTTTATGAGACAAGACTGTCCATGCATACATAATTACTGAAATAGACTGGTACATAGCAATTAATTCTACTATTCTAAGCCACATGTTTTCAAAATATATAATGAATTTACCAATGTGGGAAACAAAGGCAAAAGAAAAATTAAATTTCCTTACTACCTACAGCCCATTGACAAGTCCTTAAAACAGGCAGAGTGACATTCCTCTAGGGACTCAGCTGCTTTGATGTTAATACTTTGCTAAGGGCAAAAGGCAATCTTAACCAGACCCTCCAGGATCCTGTAAATCTACTTTAACATATAAAAATTTCTTTGGAAACTTACTTTATCTCTACTCCCCAAGATACACGTTGGCAATCATCCCCCAAGCATATGACCCACCGATATACATGTGAAGGGTCTCTTGACTAGGGTTTTACTAAACAGTAATAAATTACTTTTTCCCAACAATAGCCCCCTCAAGGTCCTGGAAACCTTGCTTCCAAAATTCCTTAAGAGATTTGCGCTATCCCTAATCCCCACCCCAGCTTGAAAAGATATAATGGGCCACTCCTTATGACCCCAGTGCAGCTCTTTCTGCCGATGGGTCCTGTCCCAAGCTTTACTAAAACCATCTTTTTGCACCAAAGACATCTCAAGAATTCTTTCTTGGCCACTGGCTTCGAACCCTAAGGTCTTTCCTACATCACTTACTACTTTAAGAAATTACTAAAAAGTAGTCATTATTTTAGCAAAACTTCATGAAATCTTTAGTGTTTCATGTCCAGAGTAAATAAAGACTTTCTATAAATCATTTCCTAATAATTTTGTAAGGTGGTTCCACTAGGACTTTTTGCTGTTTATACCCCATAAGATGTACTGTCAAAGCCAAACATATTTGTGAAGAAGGTTACCATCCAAGCATAAAACTGGAAACAGATTTTTATTAATTAGTTTGTTATTCAAGCCACTTGCAGTTATCACTTCTACAGTTTCAGAAACGCCAATGTCACAATGGATATAGGATTGCACCATTAGAGAGAATTCTGTTTAACTTCCCACTAAATGCCACCACCACTTTCTAAATGTTTAAAGAATGTTCACATGTGATTCCCAAATAATTTTGTTTCTCCTTTAAAATTAGGATGAATTGTGGTTAGTTATGAAGGTGAAAGAAAAGCCCCTCATCTTATCGTTAAAACGTTCCTGAAAGAGGTTAAGTGAAGATATTAATAACAATATCAAATCAAACTTTTAGTGATTCTTAAGTATTTATGAAGCCCTAAGGACATTTTTAAAGTCTATGTTTAAAACACTAATCCTTTGAACCCTAGTCACCAAAATTATTTATAAATGCATTTGTATAGTAACACTGATTATGCTTCCATGCATAATCCACCAGGCAGACTGACCAAAGGTGGTTAACTATAGAGAATTAAAAAATGCAGCACAAGGGAGCAGGGAGAAAGAAGAGGCAAGCATTTGTTGAGAGCTATGGAGGAGGAGTTCTTAATGCTTTACAGACACCTCAGTTACTTGCTATCAACAAATACATGAGGTGAATGATATCTCTATTTTATAGATGAGGAAATCAAGACTCAGAAAAATTAAGTAATCTGCCAAAGGACAAGTAGTGAGGGTGGGATTCAAACTCAGATCAATTTGCCTTCAAAGCCATCATTATCACACTTCCTCCCACAAAGAAATTTTCCAATATTAAAAATTGACTCTTTGATTAATATTAAATTAATTAAAATATTAATTCCTAAAAAATGAAATCTTGCCATTTGCAACGATATGGGTGGAACTGGTGTGTATTATGCTAAGCAAAACAAGTCAGTCAGAGAAAGACAAATACCATATGATTTCACTTATATGTGGGATTTAAGAAGCAAAACTGATGAACATAAGGAAAGGGAAGGAAAAACAAAGATAAAGATAAAGAGGGAGGCAAACCGTAAAAGACTCTTTAATAAAAGGAACACTGAGGGTTACTGGAGGGGAGGTGGGTGGAGGGATGGTGTGACTGGGTGATGGGCATTAGGAGGTAATGAGCACTGGGTGTTGATATGAAACTGATGAATTACTAAATTCTACCCCTGAAACTAATACTACACTATATGTGAACTAACTTGAATTTAAATAAAATCTTGAAAGAAAAATAAAATATTAATTCCTTAGTGGATATTATTCAGATCATTTCCATATGTGGCATAAATCAATCTGCATCCAACACATTCTGAGGAAAAGTCACAGAAAAAAATACAAGGGCCAGAGCACCAATATAAATCAGAGTGGGATAATGGTCGGATTACCAACCCTAGGTGGGAAAGCATCATCCCAGATCAACCATTCACCAGCGGGTGATCCCGGAGCAAGTCATAAGGTCTCTGAACCTCAGTTTCCCCATTCATAAAATGAACGTAATGCCTATCCCACCCTTCCACCTCGGATTATGAGAGTGAAATAGTTAATGTTGGTGAAATCAATGTGTAAACTGTAACAAATTATAATACATACAAAGAATTGCTATCTATTCGGTAAGATGACTATAATGAATAGCTATTTTCGTGGAAAATATCTTGGCACAAACAGAATGAGGGATACAGTCCACCAGCAACAGGAAGCTGCTCTCAGGCAGGCAGCCCCATCTCAGCGAGAGCCACTTGACAGCAGCAGGTGCTCAGAGAATCAGTTTTCTGTCTGCTTTCTAAAAATCCCGTCACTCACTGGCTGGGGGGAGAAGGCGCGAATGAAGTGGTGGAAAGGAGCACTAACAGAGGCAGAAGGCTGGGTCCTATTACTCCCAGGTGCGAGGCATTGGTTCAACTCTTCAGCCCTCCAGGCCTCAGTTTATGCATCTGTAAGACGGAGAGACCATTCCCGCCCTGCTTCCCTGGCAGAACTAAGACCCGAATAATCGAGCAGGGAAAGCGTGGTAAACCCTGCGGAGAATGAGATGATGATGGCGATCACCTGTCAAATGAAGAGCCGGTGGGAGTCTCCTCCGGAAGCCCCTTGCAGTTTGGACATTCCAGAAGCCTCGACAAGCGCGCCGCCGCGCACCCCGTGATGGGGTGAGCAGTCCCCCGCCCACTCCCCCGCCGTGGGGTGCGCAGGGTCCCACGTCCCTCACACCCCAGCTGAACCCGCAAGGCAGGCCAGGAGCCTGCCCACCGCCGCCCCCCAAGCCTCCTGAGAGGAACCCCCGGCCCTCCCGAGCAGCCGCGGCTCCCCTCCCCCAGCACAGATCGCTGCCCCTCTCCGCCCGCACTCCCAGGTGAGGGAAGAGGGTGAAGGGGAGTACCCGCCGCCATTTTGTCCCTTGGACCCCGCAACGCATTCTGCCGGCCCGTGCCCCAGCCCAAGCCCTCCCGGGTCTACGCTACGCGCGCCCCTCGCGGACACTCACCCCCGGCCGCCCTGCGCAG